CTGTTTTTAAATGGCACCCTCGGTATTTTTTTACTTTAATCGTTAGAAAATGGAATAGAATGACATATCATATGTCAACTTTTGACATTCTTGCTTAAAAAATCGTATTAATTTCAATCTAGAGTAGGTTTGCCAACTTTCTAAATAAAAAATAAAAAACGATAGGGTAAAAAAGAGGCACAGGCGAAGCATTTTTTGAAACTCTGCCCAAATGTCTAGAATTTACCACGAAGTTATGTAAACGGTATGCGATTAATGGTCTTTCTTACCTTCTAAAAAATATTTATATTCAAAATTTGTTAAAATAAAAGAAACCATTTTCAACAAACCTTTTTTTTCAAAACATAATCTAAAGTAAACATAAAACCGTTCAACATGTATATCGCTTCCATTAAATATTTCTTTTACATAAATAAATATTCTTTCGTTTTTTTCCTTCATTTTTGTATTGTTCATTTTCTTTTCTGTACAAAGCTGTAGGAGTAGCGAAAGACACAGATTATAACAAATTTTTAAAGCTTTGTGGCGATAGACGAATATTTTTTAGATTTTGGTGTTTGGTATGTAAAAAAGACGACTTTTTCAATACGTGAGAAAAAAGAGGACTGTCCTCTGGAATAGAGGACGGTTGGCAACCCTAATCTAGAGTAGGGTTGCCAACTTTCAAAATAAAAAATAGAGGACGACAGGGTAAAAAAGAGGTACAGGCGAAACATTTTTTGAAACCCCGCCCAAATGTCTAGAATTTACCAAAAACTTATGTAAACGAGGACTTTTTCAATACGTGAGAAAAAAGAGGACAGTGATATCAAAAAGAGGACTCTCCTCCGGAATAGAAGACGGTTGGCAACCCTAATCTAGAGTGCCATGGCTATGTTAAAAACACTAATTTTTAATCAAGGACCCTTGGAAAAATGATTTTTTTCCTGTCTTGTCCTGGGCGGTTAAAAGATGCCTAAATCCTATCTTTAATCGTACCTCAATTTTTTGGAAAATCAAATGGAACGAGAATGGCTCATTAGCATATTTGGAAAAAGCTTTATTTACAAATAATATGGTACCACACATTTGATATTACCAGTCAAATTGTCGCTACATGTATGACCATGGTGCTTTAAATTGAAATTTAAAATGGCATTTTTTTTAATTGAATATGTCAAAAGTTGACATATGATATGCTATTCTATTTAGAGTGCCATTTTCTATCGAATAAAGTAAAAAAAATAGAATAGTGGGCTATTTAAAAATCAAAAGTTGTAGTTATTTCCGGTGAAACAGGGAGTGGTCGAAAACAATTGAATATCAATCCTAATTTATGTTATTTGAGTCCGGCAATAGTGCGTCGGGCATATGTAGCTCATAGAATAAAAAACTTGAGAATTTTGTTTAAGTGCAGACCTAAAGTATGTACCAGGATGTATTTCCGGAAAATATTTTAACTTTTATAGGGTGGCTCAAAAAAGTGTGACTGGATCTGGATGATTTTTTTTAAATGGAACACGCTGTATATTATTGCATTTTTGGCTTCCTTTCAGATCATTTTACATAATCCTAAGATATGAGTAAATATATTTCGATAGTTTCGGAGATATTAAAAAATAAATCAAAAATATATATTTTTCAACCCTTTAAAAAAAAATATTAAAAATACAAGAACTGTTCTGAAATCAAAACTATATTAGATATTTATTTTAGATGGTCTGTTCTTACTTTGCTGTAAATATGGTAATCGTAAATCATACAGGATGTTCAATATTTGATGCCAAACTTTCAAAAATATAAAATATTTTTTCTTTTTTATTTTAAATGGAACACCCTGTATATTATTTTTTTATTTGATGGATAATTAAAGAAAGAACATTTTTTGTATTTAACGTATTTCAAAATGTTTAACAGTTTTTTCGGATACACGCAGTATTATTTCGTATGGCGCTTTCAATGGCAAAATACGAGAGAAAAATCAATGAGTGGCTTTGATTTACTGTGGAAAATGCCATATGAAATACAAAACCGCGAATATCTGCGAAACCGTTAAAAATTTTGAAATATGTACTCTAAATGCAAAAAAATGTTCATTTTTTGTTTCTCCATCTATTGAAAAAATAATATACATGGTGTTCCATTTAAAAAAACAAAGAAAAATTATTTTATATTTTAGAAAGTTTGGCATAGAATTTTGAACACCCTGTATGATTTAAAATTACGATATTTATACCAAAGTAAGTAGAGACGATCTGACGTAAATACATAATATAGTTTTGATTTCAGGACAGTTCTTGTATTTTTAATAATTTTTTTAAGAAAGGCTGAAAATTAGATATTTTTTATTTATTTATTAATATCTCCGAAATGGGCTTGTTTCACAATTTTTTTTTATTTTATCAATCGAAAGTACAACTAAAAAATAACAGATCTACCAAAAATTAGAATTTTATTCATACGTTTAGTACCTCAAAAACACGTACAAACATCTATTGCGCGAGAAAGGGGCGTGGCCAGCCGCTACGTCATAGCACCACAGGTCGGCTGGCGACCGCGTTCGATACAATGCACAGGTCTGCTTTGCCCGATTACAGAAAGTGTGTTTTAAATTTTTAGTACAACGTAGTGTAGTACTAGTCTTTCTTTTATTCAATATTAGTATAAAACAGACAAGGAAACGTTGTGTAGTGCCAGAATGCACAAATACGAATAAAAATTCCCCAGACAAACTATTTATTTCTTTACCGTCCGACATAAAGTTAAGACGAGCATGGCAGCATGCAATGCGAAGACATGATTTTGTCTCTGACAGAGGCACCAGATTTTGTTGTGAAGATCACTTTAATGTAAGTTAATAGTTACAAGTAGTGTTTCCTATTTTTTTTAATAAATAAAACTAAAATCAGGTGTTATTCACTCACATTTTGTTTGGCACTCACATTTTTGAGTGCCAAAATACAAGAAAACAAGCAGCCATTATTAAGGAAATATTGAAAGACGACGCAAGGCAGGCGGCAAATGAAAATTTTCATTTCAGGGCCAATACAGTAGACAAGGATCTTAAAATGCATGATCAAGAGGAGCGCATTTCAAACCATCATATTTATGCAACCACATAAGAAATGCTACCGCGTGCTTGCAACCACGTTCGGATGCGGCACAGTCATTACACTTTGCTTCTATCACACTTTTTTCACTAGTATTTATAATAATGCATTGTACATTATAATTTTTTGCATTAATTTTGTGCTCGGTGTAATTTTTGCCACTACTTGTCATAGTGATTGCTGTTGTTTTAACTGCACATATTATCCAATGGCATTATTACCATAATTTTGTCTGCCGGATCTGTAAGAAAAAAGTACATAGCTTACGTATCAGTTTTTACCTTAAAGTAGAAATATTTTTCTATATATTTATTGTATTACGTCTTTTCGCGGACCAACATCGAACTAGTCCTAGTCAATCACATATCTTAAAATCAATTCAGTATTTGTCAGCTGTATATGAAACCACTGATTTTTTCTGGTTCGTGAATTTTTCGCGAGAATATTTATTAATAATTGATCAATAATTAATTTATTTTTTTTTTAATTAAAATTTTTAAAATTTAAAAAATATCAAAAATAATTAAAAATAGTTTTCTACAAGCGTGTTAAAATATTTTTCGCCACACTCCGATATAGAATAATATTACTTTAAGGTACTAGTGCTTTAAAATTTACTTTAGTCATTAAAGGAAACAAAAAAATATATATTTGAGGAAAGTCTCTTATTTACTTGTACAATTATTATGTCTTAATTCAATATTAATTATATTCATATTCTAACTTATTTATATTATTAATATAAACAATAAACAATTGTTAATTCAATAATTAGCCGAAAAGCCTCAAAATGCCAATTAATTGTATTAATGTTACAAATAGAAGAAGATTGCATAGGTTAGTTAAGAAAATGCATAGGTAGCCTGCTTCTTTCATATAGGGTAAATAACCCTTTTTTTACCCTAGCGAGCCGCCACTGCTTTCCGATACAGATAGGTATTTAAGCAATAGAAAATATCTTAGAAGGAAAATATAATAGAAAATAAATGGTTTACTTAGGTACCTCTGTAACTTTATTTCCTTCATTTCTGACCTAATAAACTCCTTATTTTTATTAAAATAATCCATTATCATAAAAATGTCCACTTCTGGGAGATTGCCCGAATCAGCTTTATTGAACCCTTCTCCTACCGAATGCATCTTGTGAAAATAAACGATAAAATGACAAATCACATTAATTCAAACGAGTGTTTCCGTTACGAACTGATTGACGGCAAGTCGGGTGTAGTGGAACTACGTCACGAGGGGGCGTGGCCTCGTCTCGCCGTTACAGACTTTAAGCTCTCATATCTCGAAAACGGCAAAAGATTTCGTTCTGAAATTTGAATGGTGCACTTATCATAATAAGTAGTACCCAAAAACGTTTAAAAAACATACAAATAGGATATGATGGAACAAGCCTATTATCGAAATATATTTACTCATGTCTTAGGATTATGTAAAGTGATCTGAAAGGAAGCCAAAAATACAATAATATACAGGGTGTTCCATTTAAAAAAAATCATCCCGATCCACTCACACTTTTTTGAGCCACCCTATAGAAGTTAAAATATTTTCCTGAAATAATACATCCTAGTACATACTTTATGTTTGCACTTTTTGTTTGCAACAAAATTCCCAAGTTTTTTTATTCTAGGAGCTACAGATGCCCGACGTACTATTGCCGGACCTGTATACTAACATACCAAATCTGTTTTTGTATGTGAAGAAATAAAAAAATTATAGGGGTAAGCCACATTTGAGACGCACCCAGTAAATATGATTCTTATAAAGCACATTACAGAGACGCACAAAGTACCCTACGATTCTTATTAACTCTCTTAACGAATTCACTTAAACAAAAATAGAATTCGAAGCAAATAAAAATAGCAATTGCTGAACTCGGATAAAGAACTCTTATAACTTTCTTACCTTTAATACTTTCTGCGGTGTCACCGGCATTTCTCGACAAAACTTGTTCAAAGCCAAATCGATGCCGTTTTTCTGGATCTCCGCCGACCATTCCGACGAATTGGCCGACGAATATTTATGGAAAAGTATCAGGATAGCCATTGCTGTCCTGTATAACACCTGTAACAAAAACAAACCTTTAAATAAATAATAATCCTAAAAATAAGGGAAGCTTCTATTGCTTGCTTGTATTCAGTGATAAATTTTGGGTTTAATACACTTGAGAAAATTTTCCAAACTTTACAAGCACTTGCATTACTTGCAACATGTGCAACTTTAGCAATTTATGCAATACACTCAGAAATTCTCCCTGGAAGTGCCTTGGTTTAGCTTTTATAAGGTTTGTATATTGCATTTGCCGAACTTGCTAAATACCGTATGATCGAAAAAAACAGCGTCAAAGACGCTTTAGAATTTACAATCGATTATAGGTAATTTTGGCTAGGTAAATCTCTAAACGTTATTTACTAAAAATTGACATAAAACTTGTCAAACATTATAGAAAGATTAAAAACGTACGCTTCTAGACACACAAATCTATTCCCAAAAAATATTTTTCTCGAATTTTAAAGTATACACCATTTAAAATCATTTTTACTCAAATATAAGAATAAATTACAACCTTCTTCCTGGCCAACTGGCAGTAAGCACCATTAAAAATACAGGGGAGTACGGGCCTAGTAAATAACGTAGTTTTTTTTTCGAGCGTATGATATATCCTCAACATTTTGAAACAAATACTCGTAATATCTCGGAAATATTCGGTTAAGATAGAGTTGCCAACTTTCAAAATAAAAAATAGAGGACGAGAGGGTATAAAAAAGAGGTACAGGCGAAACATTTTTAGAAACCTCGCCTAAATGTCTAGAATTTACCAAAAAGTTATACACACGGTTTGCGATTGACGGTCTTTCTTACTTTCTTAAAAATATTTATACTGAAAACTTGTTAAAATAAAACAAAGCATTTTCAACAATTTGAACAAACTTTCTTTTCAAAACATAAGCTAACAGTAACTAAACATAAAATAGTTAAACATGTATCGCTTCCACAAATATTTCTTGTATTTGTGTATTGTTCATTTTCTTTTCTGTACAAACGAGTGGGAGTAGCGAAAGACACAGATTATAACAATTTTTTAAAGCATTATGGCGATAGACGAATATTTTTTAGATTTTGAGTTTGGTATGTAAAAAAGAGACTTTTTCAATACGTGAAAGAAAAGAGGACAGCGAGACCAAAAAGAGGATTGTCCTCTGGAATAGAGGACGGTTGGCTATTCTAGATTCTAGGTTAAGATGTAAATTAGAGATGGGTCAAAAATCACTCCTTGCGATAATATGTTAACAGTGAAATATAAGTAGCAATTCACAGCTGTTAACGTTATAAAAATAAACTGTGAATGGCTAAAACGTGAATGACACAGGGATTCGTGAAACCGTCCATCCCCGCAACGCTTTGAGTCGAAAATCGCATAACACAATAAGATTAACAAGGGCGGTATTAGATTACGCGATTATTATATGGGGTAAAATAACAATCTGAAGTAGGGAGAACTCAAACGAGATCCTCGAAATGAGAAAACATCAGTAAGTACAAATTAGTTGGTGTCTCTGTTGAGGAGGTTAATAAGAAATGTGTATTTGCTCTGGTAATTGCAAAAAGTCCCACGTCAAAACAAACAAATAGAAATGTACAAAGGAAAACATATTTACATTATTTATCGACAAATATCGCACCTGTTATTCTTGCGCCAGACATAAACAATAGCTTTATTCCATTTGCAGATGACAGAGTAGTATAATATTAGTAAAATGTGTTCAATGACGTGAATGGATAATAGCCAGAGATATATACGGTCTATTAATTCTAGGTTACTTATGTCCAGAACAATAGACTATTCCTCTATTGTATTTGAGTTTTGCTGCTGAATAGAAAAGTTATTTTCACATTTTAAAGGAAAATAATATTTTAAAAATAAATTGCATATAAATTAGTTATGAAAAAAATTTAAAAAAATAAATATGTTCCTAGACTGAGTCTTAAATTTTGAGATTTTAGGATTAGTTATTGAGACTGATGCTAAAACAAATTATCGGTCAAAATTTTTTATAAATTTCTTTTGCTTTTTCTTTGTCTTCCTGAGGAAATATTTAATTTTTAGTTGGTTTATCAATTTTCAAAAAAGATGGGCTATGGTATGACATTTATGTAGAATTTTCAGTGTTGTCTTCATCTCTTTCTCAGTTTCATTTTTATGCCCCAATTCTTTAAGCTTTTCTTCAATGAGTTCAACAATATCATCATCATCATTTTCAGCTTATTAAACCATTTCCGATTATAGTGTAGCCTATTGGGATACTCTGTAGGTGGGCCTATTGTTGGCTATGTGGGTCCAAGTTATCCCTGCAAGTTTCCTAATATCATGATCCCATCTCAAGTTTCGTTTTCTTCTAGGTCTCTTAATTCCTCGTGAAACCATGCTGTAATGTCTGTAGTCCATCTGTTGTCCGTCCTTCTTGTCAGGTGTTGCCCATTGCCACTTGAAGGATTTGATTCTGTGGATAACATCTATTACCTGGGTGTTTTGTCGTATCCACTCTATTCTTTTACGGTCTTTTTTATTATTCCCAGCATATTTCGTTCCGTTGAGCGTTGTGCGACCTACAGTTTCCTTATTATGTCCGTTTTAAGTGCCCAGGTTTTGCATGCATAGGTCATGACTGGTAGTACACATTGGTCAAATGCTTTCTTTAAATAAAGTGGCATTGCAGATTTGAATATGATTGAGTTTCTTCCATAAGTACTCCATGCTAATTTAATTCTTTTGTTGGTTTCTGGTAGTGGGGATCCCGTAGCTGTGTATAAGTTGTCCCAAATACAACTCTGAATTTGTTTCCAATAAATTCAGAGTTCGACAATATATTATTGCTTCAACTAGATCTTTTACATCTTCCTAATGCAAATCATTAAATCCCTCTCCAACGACTTTCCTAAATCAGCAAATTCGTTAATTTGATGTCTGTGTGATAAGTGACCAATATCACAGCTAGTGTTGCACAAGACAAGAATTCTTGTCTTGAAAATCAATTCTTGTCTTGTCTCGGAATTCAAGACAAGAAATTTTCAAAGTCTTGTCTTGCGGATTTCTTGAATGGCAAAGTCTTGTCTTGTCTTGCAAGACTCTTGAAATTTCTTGTCTTGAAAAATTTTATATTCTAACAAAAAGTTAATAATATTTCTATATTTTATTTCATAGAAAGCGTCGTTTATCGTCGTAAATTATGTTCTATTTTGGTTACCCGTTTGTTACTTTTATTTTTTATGGTATTTATTTTATTTTTTAATTATGGAAGATTGGTTGGAAAAGTTTGGACACAGGGTGTACGGAAAGGCCATGCTAGAGTATACTATTTTCGCTATTTGATACTACTTTTTGTTTGCGGAGCAATTTCGTGCATGAAAAGTAGTACCATATAGCGCAAATAGCGCACTCCACGAACCCACCATTAGTTTTAACTACCGTTACTTTTTTTATAATACCATTATAACAATATAATTTTGTGTATAATACCAATTACCAATATACGGTTTGTTGCCTCGACTTTATTTTATTTCATTCTCAGCTCTAAAACACTGGCTATGATAGAAAAAAATGAACACTGGTCAATATTAATGCCGGGTTTATACAACATTTGCATAAGTCTTAATCATAATCACAGTCTTAATCATCGTGATAATCACAACGCAATTTTAATGTGCGTTTATAGAACATTTTCATAATCATAATTTTTATATCAGTGAAGTTGGGTAACATAATTAAAGGCTAAGTTCATGGTAGATGTCAACAGGTTTATAAGAAGTGGATAGTTTAACGTTTATGATTATGACTATGATTGTGATTACGACTATGTAAATGTTGTATAAACCCGGCATAACTTGCGCAAAGACCTAATTATCACTTAAAAAAATGTGCCATTTATAACTTTCAAGAAATCTTGCAAGACTTTTGAAATTTCTTGCATATTAAAGTCTTGTCTTGTCTTGAAATTCAAGACAAGAAATTTTGAAAGCCTTGTCTTGAATTTCTTGCAAGAGTCTTGGTTTTGCAAGACTTTTTCAAGACTCTTGTGCAACACTAATTACAGCCAATATCTATGTTGCTGTTTCTGATCGTATGTAACAGCTTGACAACTCGTTGATTTTATTATTGTACTGTTACTACATGGTAACATTTTCTCTCCAATATATGGAATTAAAAAAACCGCGTATACTGAACCGCGTTGAAAATACAAACGCGTATAAGCGAAACCGCGTAAAACGAGGGACTCCTGTACTTATATTTAATACATTTATTGAATCCTACAGTATTTAATCATTTATTGACCTTGTAACAATAAGAATGTAATACTATAATTTTTTTAAATTATTTAAATACACTTAATCTCCTCCAATTGTTTTAATAAAAACATTATGTTGTTAAAATATTTTTCGATATGAAAAAATACTTTTTATTGGCTTTCTCTAAAAAATAAAATAATAAAATCGACTTATTTTTAAACATGGAAATATTTTGAGTAACCACTCAGTTATTTCAGATCGGGAGAAAAATACGATTTGGCAAGCCTCGCGGTTTCGGAAATTTCGAGTTTAGTCTGAAAATTTTGACAGAATAAAATATTTAGGTGCACTTTTGATGTTAGTACACCAAAATATTCAACCATATTTTCATCATGTCTTTATATTTTTCTCTAAAACGGCAAGGAAATTTGAAAAAGTACCGAAATTAAGTAATTTAGTAAGTTTAAAATTAGTAAGTAAACGAAATTAACCATTATATTATTAATCTACGACAATGTCATTATGACGCATTTAACATTGTCATTTGGATGCCATTATGGCTTTCATAATAGCACTAGTGCTATTATGAAAGCCATAATGGCATATATCCTACGCCACACGTCTCGATTTAGTGCGTCATCAGCTGCTAGGTTACGAGCTTCCATTGCTTCCTTCACCGTTCCGTTCCAGGATTTTCTGGGTCTGCCTCTCTTTCTTCTACCCTGGGGAGTCCATTGAAAAACTTTTCTCGGCCACTTGTTCTCCGGCATACGTAGAACATGTCCAAACCACTTTAAGCTGGATTTTTCAATTCGATCTAGCACTGTCTCCTCTGATGCATTCATGATACGCCTGACCTCGATGTTTATCTTTTTTTCCATCCTAGATATACCTGCGCTCCTTCTAAGATAGTCCATTTCAACAACTTGGATTTTGCGCTTCGTATCTGCACTCAAAGTCCATAGCTCTGAACCATAGCAAAGAACTGACTCCACCAATGTTCGTCCAAGTCTCTTTTTAGTTGTTGCAGACAAGTTTCGGTCCCACCAGAGGCTATTAAGACAACCAATAATTTGTTTGCTCTTCTGAATTCGGGTTTGTATTTCTTCTTTGCTCAAACCCTCGTTGTTGATAGTAGCACCCAGGTATTTAAATTTCTCTACTTGTTGAATCTGGACGTTATCATCTATGAAGACTTTAAAACAAGCGTTGGAATTGACAGCTAAGTATTCTGTCTTTTTTTAGACTAACCTGAAGTCCCCATTTGTTATATTCTTGGTAAAGCCTCTTAGTCATGAACTCCAGATCGAAAGAGTCCTGCGCAATCACGACCTGATCGTCTGCAAAGCTCAGAGTAAACAGTGTATCTTCCCCAATGGGTATTCCCATGCCTTGGCATCTCCTCTTCCTTTCCCTAGGAGCTACTTCAACATAAGCATTGAAGATTAGAGGTGATAAGCTGCATCCTTGTCGCAACCCTTTTGTGGTATTTATTGGATTGGATAGCCTGTGTCCTATCTTAACGTACGCTTTATTTTTTTCATAGAGCTCTTTTATTATCTTAAGTAGGGGTCTATCTACTTCTAAAATATTCAAGGCTTCCCATATGTTGTTGCGAGGAATAGAGTCGTACGCTTTCTCCAAATCAATAAACGCTAGATGGACTTCTTGATCTACTGCTATCTTTTTTTCCATCACCTGCTGTAGGACAAAGAGGTTATCTGTGCAATATTTCCCCGGTGTGAATCCGAGGTTGATCTTCCGAGATTTTGTCACCAATATTATCCCTGAGCTTACCCTGCAGAACTTTTCCAAAAAGCCTGCTCACTGAACTGTTAATGCTCAGGCCTCTATAACAACCGGGGTCGTTGCGATTTCCCTTTTTAAAGATAGACACTATATGAGCCACTCTCCATTCTTGGGGTAGTTTATTTTGCAGACAGCACTGGTTGAACAGCTCTGCCAGGCGCCAGCGCAATTTCTCGGTCCCACACTTTAACAATTCTACTGCAATGTTACCAGGACCTGGTGACCGTCCATTTTCATTTTTTGAGACTTAGATGTACTTCTCTTTCGCTGATCGTTAAAGTGCCCGCAAGGTTGTCTTCCTCTTCTGCAGATTGGAATTCTGGTCGGTTTTCTGTTAGTAATTCTGCATAGTAGTTGCGCCATTTTTCTATATCAATTTTATTCAAGAGCTTGTCCGTTTGATTGGTTTTCATTTGTCGGATTGTTCGCCAGACCTCAGTACTCCGTGCGCCCCCTAGAAGACTTTCCACTTGCTGACATCTTCTTTCCCACATATCCGTTTTTCCTACCTTAATAGCGGCTAGTACCTCTCTGTTTTTTGCAAATACCAAATTTCAACAAAAACGGCCATCCCAATATTGTTAAAAATAATGAAAATATATCTACGGGAAAACATTTTAGGGCCTATATATGTTCATTGGAACTTTTTCTTTCATTTCTGTAGAACCACCCACCGAAGTTAAATACACTATTTTTTTGACACCCCGTATAATCTCTGTTCTCTGTCTCTCTCCATATCATGAGTTTTTAAGGAAAACGCAATTAATATGAATTTTTGAATAAGTGCGAAACATCATTGGTTTTATAAAAAATGTCTATACCTATGTGGCGGATTCATCTCTCCAAAAAAATCCTTTATGGGTATTTCGCCACTGCACTGCAAGAAAATCTACAAAATAAAATAGTTATTTTTTGTAAACACTTAAAAACACTGCGTTAAACCGTAAACCTAAACGGACACTGCTTGTCAGAAACAGAACGTCAACGGTTTCTTGTAGACGTATCTGATTTAATAAAGTAAAGTGTTCCCGAATAGTTGAATTTAAATATTTTAAATAGTTTTTTTCTTTATTCTTTGTATTTTTTTTTGCTTCCGACGACGGAAAGAGATAAACTTTCCAAAACGTTAAGCATTTTTTTCTTTGTTAGGCAAATTTGTATAACTGTAAACATAATGTTTACAAAAAATAACTATATTATTTTGTAGATTTTCTTGCAGTGCAGTGGCGAAATACCCATAAAGAATTTTTTTGGAGAGATCATTGGTTTTGGGACCTTAAAATTTTTTAAAATCCTCAATAAAAAAACAGGGCCGTATTTAAAAAAAGAAAGTTGATAATGCCAGTTGAAAGGCGAAACGTCGGCGTCGCTCGCTTGTAGAGCAAAAACGGTAGCAATGAGAATACTAAATCTTATACTTAAATTCTAATAAGTCATAAACCATGACTTCTCATATTACACTCAAACATAAAATACGTCTAAAATGAAAGCAAAACGTAAACCCGACTGACACAGTAGGTAATAGCTCCATTAATTCTTTACTATACCGACATCCTACTGTTTTTATTTTAATGGCAAACCATTTCATTTCTACGAGCGCGTTAGAAAACGAGCTTTGGACTTGCTGAAAATATCGATTCCGCGTATAATCTGCCATTACCGGTCTATTATCATAGCTAAGCCCTATTCGAAGGACTTATAGTCAATTTAATGACCTCTATTATGTCTAAACAAAATCGAAAATATATGCTTTATTTGAAAAAGAATTCTTATTTCAAAAAAATATATAATCTATACCTATATCGTAATTTATTGGTTTATATTATTTTTTTATACTTTTATTTTACCACTTAAGTACCAATTTTTTTCCCGACTTTCGAATTATTTTGGTACACACTGTACAGGGTGGGTCAAATTGGACGCTTTTAAAGGGAAACACCCTTTTCTATAGGAGATACTAATATCGGTGACTGGAGCTCAATTTTTATCAAAAACATGGTGGTGAAAACCGCACATCCATAGCTGTTACCGTTTCGGAGTTACGGGGTGTTATTAAAAAATGTGCATTTTTAAAAAATCGCTGTAATTTTTTTGCTGTGAAAAATTTTGTATTTTTGTGAAAACATTTCCCAAGCACCTTTTTATGTAGACTTTAATGTTTTTTTTTAATTAATAATTTAAGAATTATCCACAGAAAATTTGATTTTTTATGTTAGGAAAATAATTTAATTTTATATTTCCAAAAATGTAGCATACTTGATATTTTCCTCTTCGAGATATAGAGTTTTTAAAAATTCGCCTACTTTGAATGAGTAGGCTTTGAACGGCGCCGCGCCAGCTGTAATGCAGAAAATTGTAGCTGTGAGCAGCAATTAAAACGAAAATAATATTTGCAATGAGAGATGCAGAATTTTATAACAATTTAAACTATATTTAACATCAACACATTTAAGCTATATCTAATAACAATAAAAATTTGTAGCAAACCAAGATATGAGATTTTGCTACAGGTGTTCAACATGTCGACCTTCTGTTATGGACAGAGGGGACCGTTTTTGAACATTTCTCGCGGAATTAATTAACTCAGTGGGGGTAAAAGATAGCCTCGCATAACTCGCATTGTCTAGATTATACGGGCAATTTAAAAATAATAACCTTTATTCTTTCTCAAAGATAAAAATCCACTAAGGATAACAGGCACTAAGTCCGGCTGCGTCTACGGCTAACGGCTGGAATCTTGGTTAGCTATTCAATTATACTCGAAATTAGCTGCAAAAATTTACTGATAGGTAATTTCAGCGTTCTGTGGCGGTGCCTCGTCTTGCTGGAAAAATATGTTTTCGAGTTCCATAAGGGCAGATCATCAATAAGGGGTCCAAAGCCTATACTAGAGAAATATATATATAGAAAAATATATAGGGTGTCCCAAATAAAAAATAAATTTTTCTGTTGATAACTCTTAAATTATTAATTTAAAAAAAAATATACTGAAACCATTAAATACTATGTAAAAAAGGTGCTTCGGAAATGTTTTCACAAAAGTTACAGCCATTTTTGCACATTTTTGAAAAACACCCCGTAACTCCGAAACGGTAACAGATATCGATGTGCGGTTTTCACCATCATGTTTTTGATAAAAATTGAGCTCCAGACACCGATATTAGTTTTTGTCTATCTCCTATAGAAAAGGGTTTCCCTTTAAAAGCGTCCAATTTGACCCACCCTGTATATTAACATATATTACGAACTACTTGTTGATGGTAGCTCTACACACTACTTTGAAAAAAAAGTTATTTTACAAAAAAAAATATTGATACATTAGAGTATTTTTAATAAGAAACGTAAAAATTAGATATTTTTGCATAATTTCACAAAAAAACGTAATTTTGCAGAACCAGTTTATTAATATTAAATGATTATTACTAAACGATATTATTTTCACAATCAGTTTTGTGAGTTTAAAAATTAAATTTAAATCAGAAATATAATCTTGTAATAAAATTGCATGTATCCAGACATATCCACAAAACTCGTGAAAAATGTAAGTAAAAAACGACGCCACGTCACGTAACTTCCTGTGAAGCTGATGCGTATTAAGTAATCGACGTAGTTAGAGGAAACAACAAACGACGAAGAACATTTTAAAATAAGCAGTTTTTTGTGTTTAATTATTATCAGTATTATGTGAATGCTACCTTTATTTCCTTAGACTTCTTATTCGACGTATAGAAAATGCGAAACTAACCTTAACTCCTTCATGGAAGAAGCAGTCCATTATCCTAATCAAGTGCTGGAACGGCAGCCCCTGGAAAATCCACCAAATCCAGTCCATGTAGATGCGCTCTGCCCTGCCCGCCGTGCACTGCCTTTGTAAATGCACTGCTGCGCCTTTCTGAAACAAAGATACGGTCTTAAAAATATGTTACCATCACATTAAAAAAATGAAATTCAAAAAAACATTAACATAAAAGTGGTTTATTATCATTTAGTTTTAGATATGTTAAAATGTCTTCGTTACAATAAATACATTGGCTAAACGACCGCCGGTATTGTTAGTTGTTAGTATATTAAAAAAAAATACCGTCATCCGGCGGTATGATATTTAATAATAATGATAATTAAACTGAATTAATTTGTCGATATACCGCCGAACAGCGGTATTCTTTATTTATTTAGCAACAAGCGCCCTACCTCAAAAATTTACCTCGTTGTTTGGCGGTATTCATGATAATAAATATGTAAAACCGTCTATAACGGCGGTCTTTCTTTCGTCAACTGTCTATACCGCTGGCGGTAATTAGGCCAGTTTGTAAAATAAATCATGAAAAATGAAAACATCTGGTATTGGTTTTGCTTTTTCTGTAAGAAGCGTAACATCATATCTGCAGGACTAAAAGCAAGACCCAGCAGTGTAAAAGTTATAAGGTACGTCCATACCGGCTTTCCGCACCGGCTTTCCGCTTTCCCGTGCTCGGCTTATGTCGAGCCAGGTCTCATCGCTTTGAAAACCTGCCCAATTGAAGCAGGTAGTGGCCATTAAAAACCGCTTGCTGGAAGCGGGAATGTCTCATTTCGCACCATAGAGCCGAGGTCAGAGAAATGCATCGTCTCTCACGAGACGGTATTCCTATGGCCGTCGTCAAAGTCAGAGTACCCAAACACCAAACCCACATCTTCGACATCACGCATGTGGGCTCGCAGAGGGTTCGAGTGGTGACGCCGAGGCGTGGTAATGGGGTACGTCAGTGCCACAATTGCCAGCAATTCGGTCATGCTGCCTCGAACTGCTTTGCGGCCCCGCGTTGCGTGAGGTGCGCCAAATCCCATCACACCAATTCCTGTGATAAAGAGGCTGATGCACCTGCAATTTGTTCAAATTGCGGAGGTCCGCATCCAGCCAGCCATAATTCATGCCCAAAAAATCCGAGAAATCGTAATCCCAATCCCAATACTAACATCCTTAGTCAGCCGGAACCCTCAAGGGTTCCGACTCCTATCCCTCCAAATCCTATACTTTATGCTTCAGTACTCAAAAGCAATCTTAACAACTCGCCACAAGGAAATACCCCTGAGTCATTCCTACCCATCTCTTCAATAAACCAAGAACTCCATAAACAACTACTTGAACAAGTAGCCATGTCAAAACCATGGTTTCAAACATAATTACAAGTATGTTACCTCCTACGATCTAATCTCCATTCTTCAGTACCAAATCCCCCTACCAAAACTGTCTTCCGGACAATCACAGAACTCTTCTGGACTTAGTGTCCAGTCGCTCCTAAATCTCGCATCCCAATACTAGCCTTCAGGCACCCAGGGCTACGCCCTTCCCCAACACACAAGCAGGAATAAAAGCTGCCATTCTTCCGCCGCTGATTCCTCGGAGGTGGATCGTTTTTAGTGGGTATTTCGAATCCCACACTGTCTAGGGGTTATTTCTATGACTGTCTCTCTCGAGATGGCCATGGAAATGATCACTATTCGTCTATAAAAGATTTTTAAACCACCCCCTCACAAAAAAAAAGGAATGTCTCATTTCGCACCATAGAGCGAAATGAGACGGTATAAAGGTATATTTTGACAAAACGGCAAAAACCGTTTAAAAAATAATGGTGCAACTTTAAAAATATTGTACACAAGATGGTTGTGATTAAAATTGATTAATTTTAAATAATTTTGTAAATAAATATCTTGAATTATGCTAAAGCATAACTTTTACTGAGAGTTTAGAAAAGAGTCGAGCGGGGAGGATTAAATTTAGAGGAGCGAGAGTGGTCGTAAAATGGGTAGCTAGAGCAACTTTGTTGAGCAGGTGAAGCGACAACAAGAAACAATAATTCATTCCGATAAACGCGGATAAAATCAGATTAAGCCTGTTGAAGCAGGATATTTTTGTTCATCTAATTTTCACCGCTAAAGTTGATTAAAAAAATAAAAACGATGCGCAACTTTATGGGCGATTCCGTGGCACAAAACCTGTCTGAGATGTAACTGGCGTTACCGTCAGCCTGTCCGAGAATTTCGAGATTTAGTTTAGCCCTGCGCCGCCGAGCGCTGATAGTCGTTTACAGCGCAGCGGATAAATAATACTATGGACCGCGGTTCTGTCGACGTGAATGGTTGCCGGAGACAGTATTGCCAGAACTACTGATTAATCCGTAGATTTACGGATTTTGGGTACAGTACGTTAATAATTACGGATTTTCTATCATTAAACAATTTAATATAATATTATATGATTAAACAAAGAACGGTGTCAGAGTTGGCTTGGAAATAAAGATCGCTGTTATTTCATATGTAAAATATTATGGTAAACGTCAATAATCGCCATTTCCAAGCCAACTAAACTTTTTTCGATTATACGACATATACAGTACCTATAAAAGAATTTTATTTTTGTTGTTTATTCTATGTTTAAAACGAATAAATTTTCAATACATAAACGCCGATTTTTCATCGAAAGATATTTTGGTCAAACGTATTACAGATATTATACATTTTAATATGGCAACACTGTCGTTTTAAGATCCACACCGTCTTCGATATGCCTTCGCTAGCCGAATTAGAGAAAATAAGTGTTTTATGCGTTGACAGCAGAGCGATTGGTGTCTTCACCGTACAGCACTTGAGACGTAAGGGGAAATAAAATCAGCCTTGTCACGAATTAGCCCATTAGGTATTAGGTTGCGTATCTTCCCAATTCTTTCAATCAACGCCGCTAGTCTGCCGCGATAAAGCGAGAAGCGGGAATCTGATGCACTATGGACGTACCTTTACGCAAGACCAAAACCCAGCATGCAAGACTCTTGTGGCCTTGCGTTTATTTTTAACGTGAATTATTTGCTCATTTATATTGACTCTTGCGTCAAATTCTAGGGTCAAATATAAAAAAAAACTTGGATAGAAATGCATAAAAATGTATTTGACTAAAACAGAGTGAAATTTTTAAAGAAAACTACACTGATAATTAAAATATTTAATTGAGATTTTAAACAAATTACACAATGTCAATAAAATTACCAAATCGTTCTGTACATTAATTAATGCATATCGTTTCTCTTTTTAATGTTAAGAATAACAAAAAATAAAACGAACAACACATTACCAAGTCTAGCATTAACAAGTTTATGATTTTGTAATAAACACGTGAAAGTCACAATAAATATACATTTTTAGTAAACATTTTATATAATGACTTTAAAACTGACGAATTATCGTCTAAGCTTTGTATTGATTTTACTCATTTACCACTAAACTCAAACATAGTAGTCATATTTGGTAATAAGCACTTGCATTTAGATTTTCTTAGCCTTAGAACATGTCATTATTGACAAAAATTAAACATGTTGAATACGATAGTTATTTGACTGAAATTATTTTTTTAAATGAATCAAAAATTTTTCTGCGAATAAATGATAAAAAAAAGTTTCTGTTGAACTTTTGGCACAAAAACATTTCAAATTTATGATATCAGTCTAATAACTGTTCAGTCAATATGTTTAATTTATGTCAATGATGACAGGTATTGATAATTTCGATTCCAAATATCTGAAGAACCATTACTCCTAGCGATTTTTTCCAAGAGATCTTTTTTACAAAAAAAAATGTCGTAAATGTATATTTTTTTACTCAGTAGTTTCATACAGGTACCGACAAAAAGTTATCACTCTTCAAACCAGTTAAAAAATATGTAGGTGGCGCCCTCTACAAGTAGGAGTCAATATGACTCCTCCTGATCAAAATCAAATTTAGCATGTTAAAAAACGCCAATTTTCATCCAAATATTTACATTACTTCATAAATTATTTGGAAAAAAATCAAAAGAAAAATTAAATTTCTACACCCTGTATCTCTGAAACTAAGCATTTTAGGACTTGAATTTATACGAACTTTTTTACTTATTTTTATATGCAGAATATGCTGCCGAAGTTTCCGAAATACAGTTCGGACCATTCTGTATAAATTCAACGGAAAACAGCATATTCAAATCTAGAAAGACGTTGAATTATATAGAAAATGTTTGTATCGAGATGTTTGAAAAATACAGAGAACTGTCAAATCGATTAGTTTCAATCATTCCATTTTTATTGTAATATACTTCTCGAAATACAAATCGAAGTATTTTATTGTTGTTGTTAGAAGCTGTCAACGTCTTACTTGTCAGACCTAATAGATATTTATAGCAGGTTTATAAAATAATTTATATTTAACCTAAATCCAAAATCCAACACTAATCGTGGGCATGTTATTTATAAAGTATCAATGTATTTATCAAGCGTATATTGATAATAAAATATCTGCAGTTACACATATTATAAATATCGATAGATAGTATCTGTTCTTGTTTACGATCGAATTCTCATATTGCAAAACAACACCATCACAGTTGGCGAATTAATCGTATATTTTAAAAATATTATCCGGGAAATATAAAACAATGATCACGGGATCAACAGGATAAAGAGGTACGGTGGGCGTACGTGGTGTGGATGCGGTTATAACTAGTAGTGGGAACTATCGAATGAATACTATCGAAACATTCGATAGTTGCAATTCATTCGAATAATTCGATAGTTAGTAAGAAAACATTCGTTGAAAACTATTCGAATAAAAATTATCGAATAGATCCGTCATCTGCCTTGAAATATTGTATTCTAGTAATTCGGCAGCAAAAACCATTCTTTTATAAAATTCATTCATTTATGAAATTCATTTATTCGTAAGGATCGATTATAATAAAATATTAACTGAATTTTAGTTGTCGCCCGGCGACGTAGGTTTCTTTCCGAGAAACCCGACAGCGGTCGGTGGCAATGCTATGAAAGAAGCCGGCATCTTTGATTTTTTGCGGAGTCAGATATAGATAAGGACACATTATTTTTTTTATTGAGG